CGCCGAACAAATCACTAGTTTCGTTACGTTTCTCGAAAATGACGTAACGACTCACGCCTAGACTGAACAAGTGCATGTATTGTATGCGTCGGCGTTCGTCATCGTTTGCTTGTATAAAATATTGCTATCCTTCTTATTCTCTGTGGAGAAAGTGAGATAGCAATATGACTTTGTCCTTGTGTTTGACTTTGGAAACTATGACGTAGTGGACGATGACGTTTGCTTTTGCCGGCGACTTCGTCCTTTTGTAATAAAAAAAACTTAATTTGTAGCTTTCGTGTTTTTATAACATAAGTAGGATTTACCTATAGGATAAGCAGAAAAAAATGTAATTTTATTTATAATTATTTATTTGTATATGTAAATTATTTTATCATAAAATTTAATTAGAAACATTGTTCTCTTCCAAAAGAGAAGTTATAATCTGAAAAAAAAAACCTTAAAATATTTCAATATAGCTAAATATTTTCATAATATCATTATATTAGTATAGTAAATACGTAAAATCTAATTTAAATACATATTTTATTTAAGTAAAAAAAACTAATAATCCTGTACTTCAAACGTTATTCATAATGTAAAAGTATTCGAATATTTTTATTTAATTTTTATTAATTATATCAAACCTTAACACAAATACACTATGAAAATAACGTTTGCATTTTTAAACTTTACGATATAATAATAATTCAATACATACAAATCTAAGAAATATGTAATTTCATAATTAAAATCTAACTAAATTACATGTTTAACAATATTTTTATATTTAACATAATTTTTAGAAACAGTTTAGTAATTTTTTACTAAATCAAAAATTCTATCAATAATAAAATTAAGTCAAAATATGATATCATCACACATACATTATGTAAATAATTCATAGATATAATGTCACGTCTTGATCTTTGTATGTTGTCTTGTCATATTTTTCTCGCTTTCATAAAATCTTCTTTCATAATGAGATTGGAATCTGAAAAATGTTTAGTTCTTAGTATTACTTTTCTATCGTAATAACAAAATTTATCTAAAAAATTATAAGTACCCTTTGAATTCATATTCTCTTTGTTATCATATTTATTCTGATACATTTTTTCAATTTTAACTTCATTGATTTCGGAGTCAAATGTTTTGATAGTTTTTTCCTTGGTTTCATTAGTTTTTTTATGAATTTCATTAGCAAGCGAATTAGTTTTCTTTAGAATTAAAGAGTTGAATTCTTCAGTTTCATTCAATAATTCACTTTTTTTAGATATCTTGTCAACATCCTCTACACCTTCGTAATTCCTTGTCATTAATTCTAAAGTGTTCGCATAATTCGCTTCCAGTTGTATTTCTGATGTTATAATTTTTCTCTTTATATAAAAAGCTATATTACCCACAGTATTGTTAAGACCGCATCTTGTTGTATATTCTTTGAATTCTTTAAGGAATACTTTTAAAGACTTCATATTGCGTTTACAATACTCTCTAATCATTACACTCGTTTCGAGTATTTCAGCTTTAGAAGTTCCAGTGTTTTCTATTTGCTGTGTTGTGTTTTGTTTTTTGATAGTGTTTTGTTTGTTTTTTTCTGGATTTGTTTTCGCTATTTTTTGTATGGCAGCTGGGTATAGAGTTGGAAAGTTATTGATTAAATACGATGATAAGGGAGGTCTGCTGGTGAATAGATTTAGTTCGTGCTGTCGGCTTGCAGCTCGACTCTCCTCTGATAGTGTTTCTTCCTGGAATTATATGATACAGATGAAATTCAAATTGCAATCGAATACTAGATACGGATGTTTTTATAAATAAAATCTAGTTTATTCTAGAACATTTCAATGTCCTTAATAGTCAATCTTTTTCGCAGACTTGTTATTCAGTGTGGTTTTATGACAACAAAAGTCTTCACATCATTCTGATTAAGTCACTCTCAGTTCGTACTTACCAAAGCTTCCAAGTAATGGTAGTAATTACAGACGTGTTGGAACTTGTTGGTCTGTCCGCAGTACATCCACACAGCGAAGGCGCGCCGCACGGTGGCGCTGCTGTAAGCGATAGACGGTGGCTCTAAAAGACTGTGTTCCTCATTGTCTTGCTTGAGTGGTTGGTTGTCCATCTGGAAACAGTACTGGATTTGAGATGGCACGTAAGACAGAGGAGTGATAAAAGCGTTGACGTGCCAACTTAAACTTTATTGTTTTATAAGCTTCGTACTTATGGAATTTCTTTATTTTCCAACCAGTTAGAAGACTGAAAAGACTATCCAAATCAATACCACAATGATATTAATTGTTTGTGTTAATAATTTGTAAATACAGGTTTTTACTTACCTTTGTACGCGCCCTTATTTTCACTTTATTATAATTTTGTTAACAGTTAGGGTGAACCGTTATTAATTTATGTCATTAATATAATAATGAATAATATGATTGACATAAGGTATCGCGTGAGCCGACCGCACTATTAAAAACACCTGAAAAACATGTAATTACCCTCTAATATTTGACATTTCTTGAAAATGAAACTTAACTGACATTCCGTTTTACTAAATATACGATTTTAATGTTATATTTAAGAACATTATTTAATTAAATAATAGATATCATCTTTCATAGGTACTCAATTTTTGGAAACTAAAAATTATTGTCTAAATTCGGATTTTAAATTGTTCGTGTTCGTTAAAATTATTTTTTTACTTTCAAATTAAATTATGATGATGTTTTTTACTGCTATTGGAAGGGAAATTAATTTATTTTTGTAGCAACATAGAAAATCGATATATCTTATTGTAGGGAATGAAATAATAACAACACACAATATTAATAAATCCTTTATTTATATTGCATCAGTCATTTTGTATTTATAATAAAAAGATCTTATAATAAGACATTTAAAAATACTTTAATTATTATATTGAAATTAAGGTCAAAGACATTTTTAACTTTATTTTTATGTGAGAAACATTAAAATTCTTTTGGGACAGATAATTTCTGTATTTCACTAAATATAATCCTAAATCAATTAAACATGCTCCTTATTATTTATTTATTTCGTAATAACATTGCAGTTAGACAAAGTTAATAATTGATTTTACATACTTTATTATTATTGATGATTTCTCATACAATTGCATTAATTATTTTTAATATATCTAGCTCATTAAAATCGTTGTTAAACCTTTTTACATCGAGTTGTAAAAAATAACTATACTTAACTTAATCTTAGGTATCCTATCACATTTTAGACAATTGTTTTACAGTAGAAACCAATTCAAACATCATTAAAGTAACCGGCAAAAAATTGTAATAACCGATAATTTTTATTACCGGTATTGTACAAGTTACGTTTAGCCGGGATAGTTTTATAAATGACCGATTTGTCGTTCAATGTTGTATTAAGCGGTTTCTACTGTAGATAAATTCTATATACTAAAAAAACATTTAATTGTTTTTTTAGAAGTATGCGTAATCCCGGCTTGTATTCGAAGATCGAGTTATTCTATCGAGTAGACTCTGAGATGCTGCTGTAGTTTTGGCATCTTTGAAGCTTTTAAAGAAAGCGTCGACAGTTATTTTACCATCGATGTTAATATTACTATTACTGTTTGTCTTCATAATGAAGTTGTAATCAGCGAATTTCAAACAAAACTCCTTTCCAGGCGAATCCGTATTTGGTTTGACGGCCATTTTGGACGGTGTCTTTTTAAAGTTTACGTTCCGTGTAGCATTTGAAGTGTTAAGATTGTTTAGTGAACTCATTTGAAGCCATGATTGTACGTCATATTTGAATTCTTCTGACGAAGGTTGTGGCTTATTTTCCCATTTTGGTTTAGGCAACAGATCAGCCCCTGGTGCACACTGATCATCGTCGGCTTTACGTTCCGTATCTGTTTCACAGATGGCGTTGTCTTTCAGTTCGCAGGCTTCTATCAATGCAATCAATTCACGTCTTGTTTCCTGAAGATTTAGCTCCTGAAAAATACACAATGATTACGAAATTTAATAAAAAATGTGACTATTATATAATTTAATATTTTTTTCAACTATACTAATATAATAAAGAGAAAACATTTGTACTTTTTATTGAAATAACTCAAAAAATACTGGGCCGATTTCAAAAATTCTTGCACAGTTAAAAAGCTGTTACCACGGAGTAATATAGGCTGCATTTTTGACTTCTTTTTAACAGAGCGGACACCGTTGCGAGTATATAGTATTAATAGAGAAATGTACTAATAACTTAAATAATAAAATAACTAGTCTGCAGTTGAATCACGGGAGAACACAAAACAACCACTGCACATTTGGTTAAAGTTATATAATATTGCAATTAACAGACATTTTTTAATTCCATTAGATTTATTTAAAAGTGTAGTTCTTGAAAAATCCGTAAATTATGCAATTATAATTCTAAATATAAGAATCAGGTAAAAAATTTATTGCAAAGTTGTAGTGGGCAAACAATAATTGCAAATTGTTGACTTCTTAAAAATAACTTATAATCTGTTAATCTAATAACGATGTGGAGATAACTAAGAAATATATACAAAACTCGTTAACACACGGACAATTGAAAAATATTTAATTAAAGAAAAAAATATTTTTATACAGTAAAGACTTACCAGTTGAAAATAGCTGTCACTGTAGTAAAAATCACTCATGATGGCCACAATACAGTAAAATCAAGATTATATTTAATAATAATATCTAGATTCAAGTAATGTATTAAAATTATGAATAATTTGAGGTGTTAGGAGGCGGCAACCGCTCTCACAATCACCGCCTCACTGAAACAAATCCCTTAAAAACTACCCGAAAAAACTCGTTTACCCAAAATGCAAACTATACCTTAATTAATACACAATTTTAGCACTTATTACTATTTGCATACGGGTCAATTCACTGCGGAATACACCGGTCCGTTGTTATCTATGCAATAAACATTGGCAATT